CTGTGGTATGATTCTTTTAATTCTTTGGGGAAGATACACAGCAGGGGAATACCTGGGTCATATGAGATTTCCAGTCCTAGATTTTTGAGATATCTCCATTCTGATTTTCACAGTGGTTTCAACAGTCTACACAACCACCAGCAGTGGAGCAGGGTTCCTCTTTCCCAACAGCCCCACCAGCATTTATTATTGGTTGATTTCATGCTAGCAGCCATTCTTTCAGGGGTGAAGTCTAATCTCAGCATTGTTTTCACTGACATCTCTCGAATGACCAGTGATGTTGAACATTTTTTCATATGTTTATTTGCTATTTCTACTTCTTTGTGTGAGAAATGCCTGTTCATTTCAGATAAGCATTTTTGGATTGGGTCTTTAAATTTGAGAGGTTTGATTTTTTAAATTCTTTATAAATTCTAGAAAGCAGACCTTTGTCTGAGGAACATTTTTCCCACATTGTGCTTTGTCTCTTCAAACTGTTGATGGTTTCTCTGGCTGTGCAGAAGCTTTTTAGTAAGAAGAGATCTCACTTGTTGATTGTGCTAGTTCGCAGGCAACTGAGATTTTATTCATAAGATCTTTTCCTACAGCAATGTCTTCAAGAGTTCTACCTAACCTCTGTTCCAGCCATTTCAGGTTTCTTTTTTAACATTTAGATCTTTAATCAATTTTGACTTTTACTTCAGTGCATGGTGAGAGATGTAGGTCTAGTTTTAATATTTGGCAAGTTGAAACCCAATTTTTCCAGCATCATTTATTAAAGAGGCTATCTTTCCTCCATTGAGGGTATTTGGCTCCTTTGTCAAAGGTGAGGTAACTGGGTATGTCTGCACTTGTTCCTACATCTTCTAATCTGTTCACTGGTCCTCAGGTCTGTTTCTTTGCCAGTACCATGCTCTTTTTATCACAGTAGCTTTGTAGTATAGTTTCAAGTTGGGGGTTGTGATACCACCTGCCATGCCTCTGTTGCCTAGAATTGCCTTTCCTATTCTGGATCTCTTCTTGTTCTAAATGTATTTTTGGATTGTTTTCTCAAGGTCCATGATGTATGCTGCTGGGATTTCAATTGGGATTGCATTGAATCTATATAGCAGCTTTGGAAGTATAGTCATTTTCACTATGATGAGTCTTCCTACCCAGGAGCAAGGGATGTCTTTCCATTTTCTGATAGCATCTTCAATCTCTCTTTTCAGAGTTCTACAGTTTTCAGAGAAGAGGCCTTTGATTTCTTTTGTTAGGTTCATCCTAAATATTTCAGGGGGTTTTTGGATGCTATTGTGAAAGGAATTGTTTTCCCTATCTCTCTCTCATTGACTCTGTTGTTCATGTGCAGAAGAGCTACTAATTTTTGTGTGTTGCTCTTGTATCCGGCTACTTTACTGAATTTGGTTATGAATTCTAGAAGACTTTTGGTGGAGTTCTTGGGGTCT